CCCCATCCCCACATCAGTGTGGTTTTAATGTGGTTTATTCCCTGCTGTTGACATCGTTGTCATGGCTGCATTAACAGCCGGAGACAGTTAATGTGTGTTGTTATTGCATTACCGTAAGACCAGAAAATTTGCCCTCAGCTTCTGAATCACAGATACAGACTGTCTCGTTTCGTCTAACGCACAGTTTCTAAAACTAGTACAAATGTAGGAATATGTCTGAGTAAGAAATAAATATAGATTAACTGTCTGAGCCTCGTGTTGGACCAATCAGAGATGAGAGACAAGAGATAAGATCAAAGATGTGATGGCGTAATCATACATAAGAATTTAGGGATTCCACTGACTGCAGGCAAATCATGTTGTTTCTCTCATTAGACTCCGTTGAGCTTATCCGTCTTGAGCTCGAAAATGTGTTGCTTAAAAATGATCAAATGTCAACAAGATGCAGACGTCTGAGTTTGAGAACATCTGGTGGTTTGATTCTTTGGCTCAACCTGCTGAGGTTGATTCCAACCAACAGAATCTGCTCCACAGTGACAGATTATGTAGAAATGCTCATATACATTAACATTTAATAGAACTGGAAACTGTTGTTTAAAAAAAGAAAGAAAGAAAGAAGGTTGACTCTCACCATAAATAACATCCTGTCGTTTGACCGTGTGTCTGTCGTGTTTCCTACAAAACTCTGGACTGACCGCGAGACTCCACGACTCGGCTTCTAGTCCCAGCAGGTCGGCTGACAGGTCACTGAGCAGAGGAGCATCAACAGCATCTGTAGGAACAAACAGTGTTTTACTTCCAGATCACTGTTTCAAGCGACGGGGCCACCACATCCTGACAGTTCCCCCTTCCTCACCCTGCGTGGTGATCGGCAGGTCGGTGGACGGAGGAGTCGCCGTGACCGGAGTCCCTTCGTCAGACAAGGAACTGTTGGTGCAAACTGTGACGCTGCTCTCAGCATCCGCCGCCGCTGCATCACTCAGACGTCTGCAGAGGATCAACGCAAGTCAGAACCAGTTAGAATGAGTGTCTATAAAATGAGTTTTATGTGTTAAGGTGTTTGGAAACAGATGCTAGTTGTGGAGGTTAAAGTTAAATTTGACTAGAAAGAAAGAAAGAAAGAAAGAAAGAAAGAAAGAAAGAA